TATTTTTTATTTTTTAATTAAATTTATTTTTTTATTAAAGTTGTTTCGTTTTTTAATCATATTAATATATTATATGGTGTTATATCTCATTTATGTACAACATCAACATGTCCAATTATGATTGGACCACAAAACAGGTTTAAATCAATTTATTAATTATCTTTTGTTTATTTTAATTTAATTTAATTTATTTTTCATTTTTTATTTAAGTTTATATTATTGGATTGATGAACGAGGAAAAAAAGTCAAATATTCTGCACCACAATATATTGAATTAGCAATAATTTTTATTCAAAAAAGTCTTTCGAATGAAACGATTTTTCCAACACGACTTGGTAATTATTATTTTTTAATATTATATTACATAAATATATTTATAATTAAAATAATTGATCAATTTTAATCATATTATATCGATCAATCGTTTTAATTATATTTTATCAATTTTGATTATTTTATTTATTGTTTATTTTCACAATTAATTTAAAATGATCAATATCGATAAAATTAAATTCAAAAAATTTTATTTCAATTTATATAGTAAACATATATTATGTTTTATTGATGAAATTTAAATGTCAATATATACATGGATACTATTTTTTAATCTTCTATAGAATAAGTAATCTTACTGATCATTTTCATAATATATTTTACCGATATATATGACAGTCCATTAGGAAAGAATTTCTTATAAGCCATGTATTGATTTTTTTCTTTTGGAAATCTTTATTTAATTAAGGTAGATTACAATAATAATGTCTTCATAAATTTAATTTGATAAAAATAAAGCTGATGAGTAAGTTTATATCATTAATCACTATTCCGTAGAAAATCAAAGTCAATGAATTGTTTCCAAACAGTTTGTCCAGTTATAAGATTAATATTGATTAGAAAAAAGTTCAATCAGATGAAATGTCTTTCTTTACATATTTACTTGTCAAAGAAAACACTTTTTTTATTGTAAACTTTTATGATAATTGGTTCGATTCTCTTCGAATATTGAATAGTTTATCAAAGATATATTCATTTTATTTTAATTTTCTATGACTTATTATTAATTATGATATCTATCTAGAGGTATTAAATCATAGCTAAACCTATAAAGTCAAGCACTGTTCTTTAGTCGATAATATTTGCTGATAAAATAACTAAAAAGCAAATTGTTAGTAATTGTTCATTGATAAATGTTAGATAATTAAATTGACTAATGGATTTATTTTCAATGAACTAAATAAATATAATAATATAGATTAAAATGATTAATTTATTTAGATAATAAATTTCCTTCAACATTTTCGATATTAATTCGTAAAATGGTACGTTTATTATTTCATTGTCTGGCACATATATATGCTGTTCATTATAATCAATTAATTGAATTCGAATTACATCCACATTTGAATAGTTTATTTCTTCATTTAATATCATTTTTAATAAAATCTGATATAATTCCTTCTGATTGTTCAACTGTAAATACAAATTCGAATTCATTAACAATATCTTCTCAAATTGAAATACGCGAATTTCGAACAGAACTTGAATCTTTATCTCTTTTATATCAATTATTAGCTAAACAATGGCAACATGCTTATGCTCAGGAGTCTGCACAAAAAAGAAAAACATCAAACAATCAATAATATTTATTTACTTTATATTAACAAGAAAACATGACATTTATTTCTTTTCTTTCTTCTTTAGGAAAAGAAAAATCGATAAATTTCTTTTGTTTTTTCATTTGAAATGAGGAAAAAGAAAAACTAAACTGAAACGAATTATTATTTCTTGTTTTGTTTTATTGTTCTTACAATGATTATTTTTTTCTTTCTTGAAGTTTACATCATTGTGATATTAAATATTCAAATCCTCTTTCTGAATTTATTTTACTTCAACAATATATTAAATATTTGTTTTTTGTTCTTTTTTGAGTGATTGATTCATCGAGACTTTTGCCTGTTAATCTTTGTTTTTTTTCCAAAAAAAAAAGAAAATTGGTATTCATTTATAACGAGATCTTTTGTTGAAAAACTTTCACATATAGAACAAGAATTTTAAATCGGCAATCATATTTACAATTACCATTTCCATATTAAATAAAATAAAAGTGATTAGAAAATGATTTGCTCATAAACAGTAATAGAACATCGATAGAAAAAATCTCATTATATTGTATTACATGTAGTAACTCGTAAATTATTTTTCTGTCTTAAAAAGGCGAAGTCAAACAACTTAAATAAATTTTATTGAAAACATTTTAGTGATAGACATTGATCCATATTTAATAACAAATCAATTTCGATGCTCAAAATTATATTCATTGTAATCAATCTTTTGGTAAATTTTTTTCAATTACTACGCTTAAACTTGTCATGCGATTGGATCTGTATTTCTTATAAGTCTTAGAAGTGTTTTCTATTCTATAGTATTATTGATTGTATTATTTTAGCTATAGTTTAATAAAACCATATATTTTTAGGGCCACGTAAATAATGGCGGAAATACTTTCAACAAAGACATCTCATTTAAGCCTATTTCTACTATGAAATATTAGTTAGCACAGTTATTGGTATTACAGATACTATAAGATCTTGAAGATAAATCAATGTTTTTGGAATATTCCATTACTCATTTAAAGTTACATGATTGTCCTATGTATTCGTACAGATCGTCAAAAAAGTATTCAAACATCTGTAATCATTTGCATATTTCTCGAGTTACATGATAAGAACAAATGTTAGAATAATGTTCTTATCGCTAAGCATTCGTCTTTATTCTCTTCATGGAAGATGTGGAGAATGAATCTTTTTTTTCTTTCGCACATGCTAGTACATTTAATTTTCATTCAAACAATATCTAAGATACGAAAAAACTCAGAAGAATACCGTTTTGCAAGAGCCATAGAATATAGTAAATTGAAAGAAAAATTTTGACAAAATTACACTGTCACTGCATGATTTATATTAACAAGTACCAGAGAGAAACGTCTCGATTTATCTGCTAATAAGACGGAAATTCTCAAATTTTGCACTAATGAAAACCAAAAAAAGCGTCTTCCTTTTTTGTAACCAGTTGCGCAAAATTAAGAAGTATGAATTACAGTAAATTGGTGTCTGGTTACTTTTTAGTCTATCTGTATATGTGTGTCTATACTAAAAAATAGCTAAAAACTGCATTTAGAAATCTTCTTGTTAACAAAAATGTACGATTTCTACTATCTGAAGTCGAAATTATCGAATTGTATATACTAGGTTGGAAATAATATTTTTCAAGGAAAGTAACGCTGTGCTTTCAAATAGCATCAACAACAAATTTTATACCAAATTAAAGCGTGTCAAAAATGAAATTTATTAATGCTAAATAATAATGGTTATGGCAACTTTTCAATATTCAATTGAGGAAGTTTCTGAATTTCACGCTATATCGACATAGAAGAATTCTTCTCATGAGGCAGTTCGAACTAGATCTCATTTAAAATAATGAATATCACAAAATAATGTTTATTTTTTTTTAATGTTTCGCCTTTGACAGCATTTTTCTAACTAGTAAATTTTTGATTCTTTCTTCCCATGTTTTGCAGGTCAGGTGTAGATTATATTGTGATAATCATCGTTTGAAATGAGATCTAGTTTGAGCTACCTCATGAGAAGAATTTTTCTATTTCGACATGACGTGAAATTCAGGTTTTCTTTAAATCAAGATTGAAAAGTTGCAATGATCCTTACTATATAGCACTGATAAATCTAATTTTTGATGTGCTTTAATTTGATGTAAAATTTGTTGTTGACGCTATTCGACAGTACAGCGGTACTTCTCTAGAAAAATATTATTTTCAACCTTGTACAATAACAAAAAATACCGAATATTTATATTATTTTCTATCCTAAGTATTCTAATATTTTCAATAGATAAATTTGTTTAGTTTGGTAACGTTGGTTTTAAATCAACACTTGTCAATACATGGCTAAAACAAGGATCTATTCCTTATTAATTTCACATCGATTTCATAGTAAATCGCCGTAAGGAAAGTTGAGACCTATTGACTCAGTAACTTCTGCTGACATTTTCTTCTGAAACTGTACTGGCGCTTGAAATAGTTGTACAGGATATCAGAATCAAATTTTTCATTGATAGATATCATTGTAAATGGGCAGCGTTTTCTCGAATGAGAACTGTATCATAAATAAAGTTGATACTGTGTAATGCCAAATGCAACACTAAAAGTATCTTGCGATCCATTTGGTTTAGTATTTGGCAGAGTGATAAATGTTCAAACTTTCTTGATGAGCACAAGATACCATATTCACTTTCAGAAATGAATAGCTGTGCAAAAAATGCGTTGTGTTTGGAAGTGAACTAACATCGAGATGTTCGTCAGTGTAATTCTGTTAAAACCTTTGCAAAGTACTTGAACTATTAGTTACATCTCGTTCGAAGAATTCGATAAATATTTTATTTAATGTTGTCATATAAAATGAGTAATAGCATGTGTGTGACTCGGGTCAAGTCAGTAGTAGACTACAGTATTGTAGTGCCTCATTAGAGCTCAAGGAATCTATCGAATTCAGTTCAAAGTATTATTGGATATTGTGAAATCTTTTTACGTTATAAAAGATCAATCAGTTAGCAGATATAGAAAAGAAAATTAATGATATTCAAAGACTTATAGTCTAAAACTATGTAAAAATAAGAAGAAAACACGCGCCTAATGAAAAGAAAACAAATTAATTATATTGATCATAACGGAAAAATTAAGTATGACATATTACCCGTCGAAAGATCATAGTGTTCATGTGTACTGATTCGATACCCAATGAATATAGTTCAAACTGTTAAAACGTAAATAGCAAAGTCTACACCACAGGATATCGTTATGAATGAAATAAGCTTGGAGATCCGTGTTGTTGAAGTAATAATAATCATTGATATTTGATTTGATGATAGCAATAAAATGATCATCTGTAGTTTTAATAACAGTAGAAGCACAGCATGTAACTTTGTAACAGATTGAAGTTGTTCCCTATAAATATTGAGAAAACTTCCTCATATTCACGAATATGTCAAGTATCTGGCAATTCTCTCATAAACAATCGATCATTGTTGATCTTGATAATAACGAATAGTAATATAAAAATAAATTTTTCTGTCTACTATTTACGATGCTTGACATATGCATCGGGTTCAAAGCTATGTGTAAAAAATAGGTATTCCTTAAGCAGGTGTTCCACAGGAAATACATAGTAACATTAAAAATGATGTTCCCCGGTATGAAAAAGTGTTCCACCTTATATATGATGTCATATATAAGGTGAAACACTTTTTCATACTGGGGAACACCAGCTTAAATGTTACTATGTATTCCCTATGGAAGTCCTGCTTAAGAAATACTCGAACATTATTTATACACAAAAAATTGCTCGAGTACTGATACAGTAATTTGAGTACTCTTGCCGGTAAGTCGTACTCGTTTGATGAATATTATCACTGGAGTATATGAATATGAACAATTATGTTAGTTTTAATATATTAATTGATTCTAGATGTCACCATTTTTCAAGAAATCTAAAACCTTTTCCCCATTGAACAATAAAAAAACCATTAAGGATAATTAATCGGTGGAAATGAAATGAAAAAAAAACAACACGTAAGGGAAAGCATACTTGAACTCAAAGAAAGAAATACAAGTTAGTCGAAAACTTACTTGAGATTTAATTAAAAAATGAGCATATATCACAAATATATATTTATAACTAAATGAATACCTCATTTTTGAATCATTATTTGCTTTGGTTTTCTATAATTCTAGAGTAAAGATGGAGAAGATAAATTCATTTGAATCTTATTTAGATTTTTTCTTCTTCTATTGATGATAGGTTAAGGTGAATTAAGACAAAGCAAATGTCTTTAATAAATAATTCTTTGCCTTGCATTGACTCTCAAATAAAACATGTTTTTATTAAACACAAGAATATATATCAAGTTTTTTTTTATGAATTTCTATCACTTGAAATATACGAAAAAAATTCTTCGTTGAGAAAACTAAAGAAACCTATTAGAGTTGAATCTTTTTTACAATCTTTTTTTTATATGTGTAATAAATATTCCTGATAATATAGCGCTAATACATTAAATATAAGATTAATGTATAAATAGGTGAATGCAATATGTCCGAAGTTGTTTTTCTTTTTTTATCTTATCTTGTCGTTAGTCATCATTAGGATTGCTAAAATAAGTATTATGATAATTTATTTTTAAATAAAAAAAAGAAATTCTATCTTATGTATTTGAACTGAAAAACATTATTTTCTATTTTTGATCGATAGATTTCTATGAAAATATCTTACTCAGATTAAAAAGTCAGACATTACATCTGTCATAACAGAGAAAATCCTATCAAAATTGTACGACAAAATGTGGTCTCAACAAAAATTAGAGCAAGTCTTGGCGTATGGTTCTTGTAAGATTGTATTATCTGTAAGATCCTCTATGAGATCTTTTCCGAAAGGCAATATTAGATCTTGTAAGAATTTCACGTCAATTCTTGATGTAAATACAGCAGACACAACAAATTCTCGTGAATTTTCGTCTAATTCTTAAAAGATCATATGCATACTATGAAACAGTTCATTGTTTTCTTGTTTGACCTAAGTATCTTCATAATAACACTTAAAAATTATATATATTTTTTGAAATTTTAACGTACGTTTTGCTCGATTCTACGTTAATGTAATTTTAACATAGTAACATTATTGAGTTAAAAAGTAGTTTCAAATAAGAACTGACGTTGGTTCTAATATATCTTTATATGACGAATAAGTTCAGTTTTTTGTTCTCTTGAATATATTTCTTATCGCTAAAAAAAAAAGTAAAACTAATGAATATTTTGTAGAGAACTTTATCTATTTATCATATTGTAAAGCCAAAAAAAAAAAGAAGAAAGTCATTTAAGATAAACAAGAAAATCAATATAAAATAATTGATTTCAATAAAACTACCAGATAAAGTTCTAATTAGTTTAATTAAAAGGATAATGACCTACTGTGATAAGATATTGTTGTGGATAAAAACAATAGGGTACAAATGAAATAAGTCTTAGTCTTCTGTTTAGACTATCTAGTATTTATCTGTATATATTCAATTAAGTTTAGGATGCTATTAGAAATGGTCGTTGATATTAAATGAGTCAACTAAAATAATAAGCTCTAAATAGATATGTATAGTCATGTTCAACTAATTGAATAGTTAAAATAAACAATAATGTGATAACGAGGAATAGTTTTAGATCTTAGTTTTGGTTCTATACTAGTAAATAACAGTAGACTGATGGATTTTCCGATCTAGAGAAATTTTTCATTAGTCAATTAAATTCAATCGTTTTTAATCAGTTTGAATTGTTTTATTTCAATTGAAATTTTGTTGTCGATGTTAATTGAATAAGTTAATTGCGATAAATAATATATTTTAGGTAAAATCATTGGTATAAATCTAATATAAAATCCTAAATGTCAATAGGCCGGTGTCTTCTTGATAAATTTCCAGTTGAAATATTTCATACGATATTTGATTATCTTTCAACTATTGATATATATCATGGATTTCTTAAAATAAATTCTTATATTGATTCGATAGTTTCAAATTACAAATTTTATCATGTTAATTTTCGATCGATTCTTAAAATAGAATTTGATTTAATTTGTCGTTATATGAATCCGCATGGTATTGTTTCATTAATATTATCTGATGATATTGATACTCCTGGTCAATCAAATTTATTTTTATCATTATTTAAATTAGATGAATTTCATAATAATTTACGTTATTTATCACTTATAAATCTAAATCAAGAATCAATTCAATCAATAAATAATCATTTCGATATGTTTATTAATTTATCATCATTAACAATAATAAATATAGTAAGTGAAATTCCATCAAAATTGTTTTATATTTTTCCTAAATTAAATCGATTAAATATTCCACATGATTGGTTATTTAATAATAAAATTTCATTGATAAAACTTCAATATTTAATAATATCAAATCGATGTAATTTTAATGAATTCGAATCAATAATTAATCGTTGTCCAAAACTTGTATCACTTAATATTTGCCTTGAACGAGATATAAAAATAAATATGAATGGATTAATATCAAATGTTTCTCGATTAATACTTGACATGTCTCGTAAGTTATTTATTTGAACAAAAAACAAATAAATTATATTTGATTTTTGTTTTATTGTTTCTTTCTGTTTTTTTTTTTTGTTATTTTGTAAATAGTTTGTCAAATGAGTATGATTGAATTAAAAGAAATCTTAAATTGTTTTCCTTGTCTGATTCATTTTGAAATCGAATGTCGAAGTGATATTGATTTATGTGATGGATATCAATGGGAAATATTTATTTTAAATAAATTATCTCATTTAAAGAGATTTTATTTTAAATTTCAATTAAAATCTACAATTATTTTAAATATAAATGGAATAGAACAAATTTTAAAATCGTTTTCAACTTATTTTTGGTTAACAGAAAAACGATGGTTTATTGCTATTGAATGGGGACAAAGATTAATTTATTCTGTTCCAAGATTTTCATGTCAATCAGCTGATAGAAATTTTCGTCCACCAATACATACAACAATATATGATGAGAAGATTTTTTATGATAATATAAATGCACTTGCACTTTGGGGAGAAACACATCATAAATTTTTATATGTTAAAGAACTTTGGCTTGTTGATGATCCATTAATGATTAATTTTGAACAAATAATTAATATAAATAGAATTGAAACTTTAATATTTGTGTCATCAAATAATCATTTATCAATTGATACACTTGTTTATCTTATATCAAAAATGAAAAATCTTTGTTCAATACAATTTTTTGATATTCCATTATCATTTGTTAAATATAAAAAACAGTCTGTTATTATTCGACAAATTCATTCAATTGAATTAATTAAAGAATTAAAATCATTTTCATCTATTGAAATATTAAATAAAATTTTTCCACAAATTCGACGTTTACATATGAAAATAAAATCAACTGAAGATATTCAAAAAATATATAATTTATTTTCAAAAAATTTATCAAATATTATTTTTTATTGTAATACATCAAATGTATCTTTAACAAGACAATACTTTGAAAAAATAATAGGCCATAGCAATTTTACATTTTATATTGATTTAACTTCAATAACACTTTGGATTGGCATAGAAGATGTAACTTTTTTTTGTTTATTTTTTATTTTCATATTTGTTTTTATT